TGTGTTGCTATAATGTTGTCCAGTAACGCATGAATCAAGAACATCAAGTGCATACGTTTAGAATTCATATTTCCCATTTTTATAAAAGCACAATGGATGGGACTGTGGAGGGAGTCTGTCTTTTCTGATGAAAAATCTGAAATTACAGAGTAACCCGTCCTTTTGCAAAATGTAAGAAATACCATAATGTTATTTTTTATAGCTTAGTTCATTTCTTCTGCAAAAAAACTATCCAGACTGCCATGCATGTATTTATGTATTTTTTTATTGATGTAAAATTATGGCAATATCCACTTTTTTATGATGAGTTATTGGTTTACATTTGTTGGCTGGACATAGATCAACTCTTTTCTCGGGGATGCCCTGTTGAATTAAAGGTCTTGCACTGATCTTTTCTCTCCAGTCCAGTGATTTTAGGTTCAGAATTTATCATTACAAGAGACAGACTTTTTATATGTGTATAATAATTTTAGTAATTTTTTTGCTACTGAGACAGATTCTTTTTGTATTACAATTTCTTGAATTGCTGCCTTTTGACATAATTAAGCATGAGACTACTACAGTAACAGCACAGCATGCATTATGCATATTTGAGTATTTATATAACTAATACCATTAAACTAAATAACATTATTAAACTGATTATACGTATCTTACATACACCCGGTATCACACTCTAAAAAAACAGTATGAATTTCTTTTTCAAAACTGTTTGTCATCCTTCAGGCCATGAGGATAGACCACGGTAAAACAGGACCTACACCTACTCAAGGTGCCGAAGCTGCAAAGATTTGCATAACATTCAAAAACATCTGTTCGTGATAGGCCTGCAGATCCTCGTGTAATATTAAAACGGCAGTCACGAGAGACATCCATGCACCATCAGTCATGACTGATCATTTCCAGAAACAGATATAATAGCCAGCATTTAGTAGCTTGTTATTTGTGATGTTTATGCTTGAGAAGCACTGAAATCCAAATGGGCTTCTTAATGCACATTTCCTGGTCTGGTCGGGCATGTTATTCCAAAGAAAAGCAATTTGTCTTCATCATTTTTATCAAAGTGTAATGATTTTGCTATCTCTCTCAGCTGACATCACATTTCCCTCCCCTTTAAACCATCTCACTCCAGTGTTTTGCATAACTCGTTTGCATAACTCGTTAACCCTTCTCGTGATTCAGTCAGTTTCCAACAGGGGAAAAAAAAATCTCATTCAGAATTCTCTTGTACAGTACTTGCAAGTATGTTAGACTACAGAATTAAAAACGTCTCATAAGTTGTTTTTTTTTATTTTCTTTCCTAGCACTCAGGCAATGGTTGGTTATTAAGCATTAAGCAATGAGGAAATATGATAAATTATTAAACTGTGTGACACACTAATATTTAGAATGCAAAAGACAGCTGAAATGATATGAACAGAACTACGTTTTACATAACGTTTTACTGTGGAAGCTGTGAGATTTTATAGGTTTCATTCAGAACCTAAGCTGGGTGCTATATGAGACACTTGTGGCCCATCCAAACAACAGCACAAATATACATTTAATCTCCATTACACTTTGTGTGACTATACGTCATTTTATCCAAACAATTGCCTGCTCTCTTTTAGCTTTGAATGATGAGTTGTGATGTACTGTAGCTTAACACCAAAAATGATCCTTGTTTTGTCTGCTGTAGATTTGTAGTGATTTGCGTTTGAACCGTATTCCAGGTTTGGATGTCATGACGAGGTCAATGGAGTTAACCATACATTATTCATTTAGCATTCAAGGAATGTAATGTATCAGTATGTGCATTACTTGGGAATTGCACCCTTGATCTTGGCATCGCTATTAGGCAGATAAACATCCTCCAGAATAAGGTAAGTAAAGATAATCTGTTTCACATCTGAAAGTAACTCCACTTGAAACCGTTTTATCACCAGACCAAAACAATCAGCATCATGCAACGCGTCGACTAAGCATTCACATTTGTGTACTTGCACAGTATGTTTCTGGCCTAGCGTGTTTGCATTATAACCTCATGTTTGTTTCTGGTTTCTTCAGAATTGGCTGATTGGTGTTTTTGAGTTACTACTACCAAGTTCTCCCGATTTAAAATCTCGCATGGTAAGCATTTGTACCAGCACCATCAGCTCTGTTCAATGGTTGGTTGACATCGTTTGTTTGCAGAGCTGAGCGGGAGCTCGATGGTTGTATGAGATGCAGCTCTTTGTGTTGGGTTGAATCTGGCAGCCGATGACACTCCAAGGAATCGCCACACCTTCCCTAGAGGCCGGGCCTCGGTCGCCCCTCTCCAGGGAAGGAACAGGTGCTTGCTATCTCACGTTTCCACGGTGACAATCTCGACCTCATGTGCTTGCTATGCAGTGGGTGACTCTCGGCAGACTTTTATTAACTAGCTCAGACATGCTTGGTAGGACAGGAGAACCTTTAAAGAAGGGCCGGTGCTTTCACTTTGCCATTGCAGCCTCTTAATAACCCCTTGTGCATATTAAACCTGGACTCCAAATAGATGAAAGCAGCATTGGATATTTCAGCAAACTTAGACTTTTTCCAAACATGACATCTTTTGACACTGCTATTCATTTTTCCACTTCTCACTCCCAGCTGTTTTTGTCCCTGCTGTGTTGCCACCTGTTTTCAGGTGTCCATTTATTTTGAATGCACTAAGCGGGAATACATAGCCTGTATACGGCATGTGACTGACATTCACTTTAGGGCTTGCCTGGGCTCGCATAGCAGTGAAATGTTACAGAGTCTGGTCCACACTGAAGCTTATTAACCCCACAGGAAGAGGATGTACTATGTGTAGACTTTGTCGTCAATTTTTGTCCATTGAAAAGTAATAAGTACTGATGATTTCACAGACATAAATCAGGACAGGTTATACCAAGCTAATCATATGAAGTTAAGTCCATAATGGCCAAACACGAGTAGTGGACAAATTTAAAACCCCTATTTAGTTTATTAAAATTAAAGAGTGTAGTTTATGTGCCACTGCCATCATTCAACAGAATTGAATAAATATTGTAACACTTTATCCTTCATCTCTCCCAAAACACTCCCGTTGGACAAACAGATAGTTTTGCTCTTACTTGCTTTTACCAATTAATATAAATGATTACATTTAATAGACAACCATTTAAATTTAAACTTAATACAGTTACGCATTCCAGAACCTGGGATATCGCTGTAATGTACCCCAAAATGTATATGTATTTACTGTGATGTTTGTGACCATAGATCATGATTTTATGGACAATTTTGAGTTTAAAGTTATCATTTACTCACCCTCAAGTGTACTGTCAACTGTTTGTCAACACTCTTCAAAATATCTTATTTTGTAATCAACTGATAAAAGAAATATACTTTGAACAACTTGATGGTTACTAAAGGGCCATTTACACAACAAAGTTTTCAGCCAAAAACGGGAAACTTTTTATGCGTTTTGCCTGCAGTTGATAACGAATCAACAAAGGACAGTATTGTTACTTTAAGGACGATGTGAATGGTTGCAAAATGTGCAGCTAGCTTCCCAGTAACCAAAGTTTACCATATGCAGGGTCATCACTAAAAGTCACGGGGCCCGGGATGAAGATTTTCTACATTTGGGCCATTGAGTAGATTCAGGGGCCGTTTACACGACAACGTTTTCAGCCAAAAACGTGAAACTTTTTATGCGTTTTGCCTGTTCGTTTACATGACAATGGCGTTTTGGGGATTCTGAAAACGCATATTTTTGAAAACGGATTTCAAAGTGCAAGTTTTTGAAAACGCCACCGTTATCGTTTCCGTGTAAACACCCAAAACGGGAATCTTTGAAAACGGTGACGTCATGCACGTGTGTAGTACGTGTTAGGGTTAGGTTTTTTTGTTTGTTTGTAGTACATGTTAGGTATGTAGACATGCGCAGTACCTGTCGATTTTAAAGGCAAGCATGAACAAACATACACAACAATGGCGGAGTACATGGTACTGTTGTTGCTGCTCAAGAGTTTGCTAACACAGCTAAAGTTTGTGGCGAAAGAAGGTTCTTCAGATTATAAAAAGGTAAGAAAGAGATGGTTCTTTAAAGAACCTTTGACTGAATGGTTCTTTGTGGAACCAAAAATGGTTCTTCTATGGCATCGCTTGAAGAACCTTTTGAAGCACCTTTATTTTTAAGAGTGTATACGACATATAATCGTCACTTCCCTACAGGTATTGTTTACTAACAAGGTGACAGCGCCAACTACTGGCCTGGCATACATAATACAGCGTTTTGGCCATTTTCGTGGATATGTGTAAATGCAAATCATTTTGAAAACGTTGTCGTGTATATGTGAAACTTTTTAGAAACGCAAGGGAAAAACTTTTAGTTTTTGACTACATCGTTGTCGTGTAAACGTAGCATAAATGATGATGGAATTTTCTTTTCTGGGTGAACAATCCCTTTAAAATCCCCGTAGAACCACATTCCAGTATTTATTGAACAACATTCTCCATCTTAAAAGAATTGCTCAGTTATGAAAACTTATATTACTGTAATGTATTACTGGCTAGATGTCCTGCAGACTCAGTCAACAATTTGTTGGTTCAAAATGCAGCTTTTAAAGTCTTTAAGAGATCATTTGATCATATCAAGGCATTTAGTAATTCTAGCTTCACTGGTCTGATCTTCTATCATGACGGAATCTGGCACACTCATGGTTGCAAAATCATCTCTGGAATAACCTGGAAATGTTTGGAACTCACTCTTACATTTAAAGTCTAGACTCATCTTTCTTTTCCCTAATCATCATCTTTACAAGTTAAGCATTGTCAGCATCTAAATATCATCTTTGTGTTTTTGAGTTTTTTTCTTATTTATGAATGTTTGTTAAAGGATGATTCTGCAAAGCTTTGAGAATATATTGTGAAAAGATGTTCATCCCTCCCTGCTGAGTTTTATTAAATGACCGTAACAATAAATGAAGACAAATACGAGTCGACAGCCATGGCAGTCCAATGCGGCTAGT